CGTTTCAGAGAGTAATCCATATGCTGGTGACAGTCTACATTTTGAAGGTGTGTAGAAGAATTTAGAAAAAAAATATTTTTCTGTCTTGATGAATTAACCCTAAAACATTACTTTTAGGAAAACGATGTCTTTTTCTAAATGGGACTTGAGTTTTGTCCCACAAAAAAGCTAAATTAAGTTTTAAATGAAGTGTGTGATTTTCCAATCCAGATCTAAGCAACACACCAAAATAATTGGCACCTGGAAATAACACCGTTTGAAAGGCTGTTTTTCAGGATAGGTCTGGTGTCTTTTCATCTCTATTTGTTCACACCTAGCTCAGCTATTTCCTGGTATAGAGTCAAATTTCAGTAAATGTTGGTGAATATTGTTTGTGAATGAACAGAATGCTGTTAGTGTCTGTGTCTACGCAAGCCAGTGTTACACACTGAACTAAATTATTTCTCCTAACTCAGCCTCCTTTCCCTACAGATCCTTTTCTTTGTCGCTTATTTATACAGTGTGCAATTAAAGGTTGGCAAACCACTGTTGTAGATGATGGAATATTGGTTGAGTGCCCAGATCAGGAGGAGAGCTTCACACCCTGTCTTGTTCTTATCACACTGTCTTTGGATGCGGGAGTCAAGAATTGGTTTGCAGCGTTTGTATTTAGCCTGTCACTTTGTTCACTATTTGTCTGAAGTCCTTTATTGAAAGGAGGCAGAGTCCTGAACATGAGCTGCTTGAGGTAGGGCCCACGTCTTGCTCATCTTCATGCCCTCCATTAACATTTAGCCTATGGAGGAAAGGAAATAACCACCATATGTTAAGTACCTGTGAAATCAGGCATTATCCCTGGTAGATTATACACGATTTCATTTAATTAACACAAGAATCTCATCACATAAATTGTTCTCAATTCGGAGTTGAGAAAACTGAATACAAGGTTTAAGGAATTTGCCAAAATTGCATAGTTATGAGGGTCATCATTGTACAACCAACTAGCATAGTGCTTGATACATAATAAATGTTTGCTAAATAGTCGTTCTAAAATCCGTTCTTCTTTGAATGTCTTTGCTCTTTTCACTACCAAAGGTTTCCTCCCCAATAGACGTGTTTAATAGCAAAAAACAATGATTTGAGATGTTTCGGTGAATGCACAATGACTTTCATGTTTGATATACATTATAGACATTCATTTAATTTTATTTATGTACTTTTTGTTGTAGATACACAAGTGGAGAAGTTAAATAGTAATCTGAAACCAAAACTCGGGATGTCCCAGAGAGGCTAGATTAGGAATTCTTTGATTTGGGAGTCATGAATGTGAAGCATCCATATTTTAATGATTAATGGCAGCAGAATCATCTAAGAAACCCAAGAAAAATCCGCCCAAGTGATGGAAAGAGAACTACTAGATAAGAAAGGACTGTTCTGGAAGACATGCTCCTATGAGCAATGGAGAGCAGGGGAGAGAGAAGGTGGGGACAGGGAGGGTTGGCCTCTCATTCAAAAAGATGACGGGAAATTGGCAGGAGTCAAGGGGAACACAAGGACAAGGGAACCAGGTGAGTATTTTTGTAAGCTGAGTACAAGGAACTGATAGATGGTGATTAAGATGGAGGGAAAGGGAGAATAATCGATGAAGACCCTGTAAGCCACTGGTGGAGGGATGGGTTAGCGACACGCCAGTTCTCCAAGCCAGGAGGGATGGAGGTGGGCTGGTGAGAAGCAGGTTAACTTGAGAGCCAGGACTCGAGAAAAGTTATTTGCTCACATGTTGAGTTATAAGACGATTTATAATTTTAACAAGTCATGTGAGATTGTGTCTAGGTGACAATAAATAATTGACTCAGAAGCAAAATCCTCCCTTCGCTCACAGGGAACTCAATTCATTAACAGGACAAACAGAATCCTCTCCAAGGAAATCGTGAGACACTGAGAAAATCATGTAGAATTACTTTCTCTCCCTCTAACATTCTTCTGTATGTAAAGAAAACGGGTTGAAATGAACATGATGGGAATCTCTGAAGAGAAAAATTAGATCCATAACAGGGCTGAAATAATAGCCTGTCAGTACTTTACATTATCTAATGCCCAGTGGCTTTCGCATCCCACATTCCCTTCCGCCCCTGCCCCCCGCCCTCTGCTCCTGTTTTCCCTCTGCAGGTGGCATTGCCCTCTCCACCCCCTCCTCACCTTATTTCCTTATCACAAGGCTCATCGAGCTTGTTCCTTCTCTGATACCAGCAGTACTTTCCGTATTGCTCTTTGCTGCCCATCCCCGTCTTTCATGCCTTACAGTTCTTTGTGTACATTTTTCATTTATGCCATTTAATTCTCTATATTTACAGGACAGGGAATGTCTACCTTTTCTTGTATCCTCCACAATCCCTTACTATTAGTGAACACTTAAAAAATATTTACTAAGTTTGTATAATGATTACATTTTTACGGCTGACAGAACAAATCTGATTGAAATTAAATAACAATTTGTTAAGAGTAAATTTAGGACTTAGGCTGAGAACATTAAGGGCTGTGTAAGGGACATGGGAGGGGGAAAAGTGAAAGTCGGTGCTAATATACAGAGGCTTAGATGACCCAGGCTTATATCTGCTGAGTCACTTTTTTCTCTTCCAAAAGCTATTTGTGATGTCATTTGCCTGTGTCATGGCCTGCCCTCCCTAGTTATTGTCCTCATGTGAGGACCACACCTAATGTACTGAAGTAGAGTGCTGGCTATTCCTTACGAACATCTCTGATGGTAAATAAATACATAGAGATTGCTAGTGCCTTTCACAGAACAATACGCTGTAAGCCCCATTATGTCATTTTAAAGCAAACTCATTTAATAAATCCCCTTGCTTTTATTAGGTATGCTGCATGTTGACATATTTTATTTTATTTTTTAACTTTTATTTTAGTGTTAGGGATACATAAACAGGTTTGTTTTATAGGTAAACTCAAGTCATTTAGTACCAGGTACTAAGTCCAGTACCCAATAGTTACATTTTTTTTTTTTTTTTTGAATTGGAGTTTCGCTCTTGTTACCCAGCTGGAGTGCAATGGCATGATCTCAGCTCACCGCAACCTCCGGCTCCCAGGTTCAAGCAATTCTCCTGCCTCAGCCTCCTGAGTAGCTGGGACTACAGGTGTGCACCACCATGCCCAGCTAATTTTTTTTGTATTTTAGTAGAGACAGGGTTTCACCATGTTGACTAGGATGGTCTCGATCTCTTGACCTCGTGATCCACCCGCCTCGGCCTCCCAAAGTGCTGGGATTACAGGCGTGAGCCACCGCGCCTGGCCGCCAATAGTTACTTTTTCTGCTTCTCTCCCTCCTCCTGCCCTCCACTCTCAAGCAGGCCCCAGTGTCTGTTGTTCCCTTCTTTGTGTCCATGAGCTCTCATCATTCAGCTCCCACTTGGGAGAACATGTGGTAGTTGGTTTTCCTTTCCTGCATTTGTTTGCTAAGGATAATGGCCTTCAGCTCCATCCATGTTCCTGAAACAGACATGATCTCATGCTATTTTTATGGCTGCCTATAGTATTCCATGGTGTATCTGTAACATAGTTTATTGATCTAATCTGTAATTGATAGGCATTGAGGTTGATTCCCTACATATTGATATATTTTAAAAGTTACTATGTACATACCTATAAATTTGTAAAGAAGGATCAAATAGAATGTATTTGTCAATGAAAAAAAAATTGTGGTATATAATTACTCCCAGATTGGCACCAGACAAAATTGTCTTAATTTTTGCTATACCCACCTTAGGTCCTTTGTCCTCTTTCATTTGTTGTCAGCTAGCTACCAAAGCCCCCCTTTCGAAATGTCAACTGCAAATAATTAAAAGTAGTATATTTGCCAAGGATATTTGTAGTTTAACATATGACCCCAAAGGAAGGACTATTGGTAGATTTCATTCAGAGTTAAGTGGTAAAGGAGACATTGTTTTGCAGTTATTCTGCATGATATTCAGAAATTACAATGACAGCACCTGTTATATCTAAAAATGAAACTCATCCTGGCTGTATGCTTTAAATAAAAAGAAAAAAATCTTGTCATATAAGAGTTTATGTTATTATAGTTGTGAGATTTAACTTAGTCCACAAATCCCTTCTTAGATTTTCTCATTTCCTCTGTATCAAACCTACAGGATATGGTATTTGTCTCCTTTCATGAAGATGTAAACATTACCCAGTATCTTATTGTCTTTCTCCTCTTATCTAATTGTTTGATGGAGAAGAGGCTAAAGTTGAAAGAAAAAGCCAATTTTTTCAATATTTTCTTTGCAATAACTTGGACTTTCAATTCCCTTTATTTTTATACTGCTAACTTTAGTAGCTTTGACAATGGGTATCCTTTACACTCTATGCCACTTAAAGTCTGACTGGGTGCAGTGGCTCATACTTGTAATCCCAACTCTTTGAGAGGTTGGGGCGGATGGATCACTTGAGGTCAGGGGTTTGAGACCAGCCTGGCCAGCTTGCCTCGACTAAAAATACAAAAATTAGCTGGGAGCGGTGGCGCGTGCCTGTAATCCCAGCTACTTGGGAAGCTGAGGCAGGAGAATGGCTTGAACCTGGGAGGCGGAGGTTGCAGTGAGCCGAGATCGCACCACTGCACTCCAGCCTGGGTGACAGAGTGAGACTTCATTTCAAAAATAAATAATAAATAAAATGAAGTCTTGTCAGTGGAGTATGTTTCTGGTATCACAAATCTTATTTACAAAGGCCACTAGGACAAAGTATATAGAAAACTGACTTGGAGGGTACCAAACATGTTTTACATTTCCCTTGCCTCCTTCATTCTTTGTTTCCAATTATCTATGAAAATGGACCCAGGATGAATCCTCATGCATTGCCTTTGAGAAAACAAGAACATCGACAGAAAATGAATTACAACAGTTCAATTTGACCATGTGCCTTAACTTACTGTAGACATTGAGAAATTCTGCAAATAGTGAGCCCAGCGTGAGCAAACTACCGAAGAATTCACAGCCACCACACGGATGTGTGAATGCTTGGAGCAACCAGGTTACATTTATTTTGTACCAAGCAAAGCAGAAAATAACTCTATAGTCGAGTTACTTCTTCTTTGAAGGAACGAAAAAAGCAGTAAATATTGTTGAACATGGAGAGACAGATCGTGGTTAAGCTCACAATAGGGCCAATGAATGGACAGTATCTCTGGTTTATGACCTGTGGTTCCTCAGGAAGAGCAGTTGGCCTAGAAAGAAGCCACTGGATGAATTCTTCTAACTTGGTAGCACTGAGGAAAAATGTCCATTTTCCTCCATGAACAAAAGTTAGCTTGATCCATGTACTGAAGTCTGGGTAAATGTAAATATTTGGGTCTGCTTTTTTAGAGCTCCTTGATGCATTTTGATGGTTACTTTTCTTTAGAGTTTTAATTTGGGGAGAAATTGTTTTTTTCTCAAGATGATCAGTGGACTTTGGATAAATCGGCACTTTCTCTGGTTCTGCTGAAGAGATTTCTCTGTCTTCAGAGGCCAATGTGTTCTTCAGAGTTGCTTGTTGTATGAGTTTGTAAAGCAGTTCTATGGTTTCTTTACCCCTTTCTCCCTCTAGAACCTCTAGACAATGGATCCTGGAGCAAGAATTCTGATTTTCCAGTTCTGTCATTTTCTTTTTTAATGCCTCGATGTCTTTTTTCATAGAGAGGATATCTTTAGTTGTTGTGAATTGTTTGTCTTCATTAACATTCATTCTGGTTTCCAGGACCTCCATCCGCTTTTGACACAAGTCAGTCTTTTCCTGGAATTTCGGTATCGCATGGACAATGTCAGTCATTTGGCTGAAAAGTTCAACTTGAGCAGTTTTAACATCTTGGAGCACTGCTGTAAGATTCATTTCTTCATCATAACTAACATCATCTTGATTACAATCATCAGATGTCACAGTTGGATATCTAGCTGAATCTTGGTGACGAATCTTACATTTGTGGTAAACATTTTTAAGAGATTGTCTGACCTTCAAGAGATTTGAAGTCCACATCTGGCTAGCAGCAGCCTTTACCCTTTTGGTATGAAGTTTGTGCATCTTTCATGGTGAAACACAGAATCACAGGAAGAAATAATGTACGAATGAAATGGTCTTTCTCTTACTGTTTGTTGGATGCCTTTCCCGGTAACATCATACAACACTCTGTGGAAAACATCGGCAGCAGCATTAGACACTTCTTATAGAGCTCCAACTGAAGAGCTCTGTGAAATAATGGTCAACTGCATGGAATTCTTCATATGGTAATCAGTGACCTGTTGCTGATGTCACAATGACTGCTGTCTTAGAACAAATACATTTAACTACAGAAATTCTCAAAAGTTTTGGTCATAGGGCTCGTTTTCAATCATAAAAATTATTGAGCAGTCTGGGCAACATAGAAAGACACTCATTGCTACAAAAATAAAAAAAAATTAGCCAGCCATGGTGGTGCACACCTGTAGTCTCAGCTACTTGGGAGGCTGAGGTGGGAGGATCACTTGAGCACAGGGGGTGGAGGCTGTAGTGTGCCACGATGACACTACTGCAGTTCGGCCTGCGTGACAGAGCGATACTCTATCTCTAAGAAAACAAGAATGAAAAATTATTGAGGACCACACAGATTTTGTTTTTTCAGGTTATATCTACCTATATTTTATAGTTGAAATTAAAACTAAGAAAATCTTATTTACTAATTAATTTATTTAAATTAAAAAACCCATTACAGGTTAACATAAATGATTTATTTTTATAAAAAATAATTTGATTTCCTGAAAGGAAAAAAATGAGAAGAGTGGCATTGTTTTACATATCTGCAAATGTTTTAAATACCTGAATTAATAGAAGATAATTAGATTATCATTGCCCCTGCATTACATCTGTTGTGATATATTGTTTCGATTGAAGTATATGAAGAAAACATAGCCTTATGGAGAAAGTAAATGGAAAATAAAGAGTATTTTAATAATCTTTTCAGATAATTGAGGATATCATTCTTTGCTACTTTATACTTTATGGACATTTGACAAATGATTTTTTTAAGAAGCTAGCTGCTGTGTATCATTTTAGACCAAATCAATGAACTTTCATACTCTGTTATATTAGTCACTAGTCTATTTTTTATTTTGAATAGATGCATAATATAATGTATGGGTCATTTGGAAAACAATGGTTCACTGAATTATGTCGATCTTCCATGTTGACTCATTGTATTATATATCAAAATATCATATTCATTAATATCTCCACCAATCTCACAAGAAAAGTATTTTGAATATTGAGAAGAGGCCAAGCTCATGGTGGCAAAATGCACATTTTTCAAAATTCTAATTTTAGCTTGAAAATCTTGAACTTTATCAAGATGGCTTACTGTTTTCTTTGAAATGACATATTCCATCCATCCATTTTTTGCAAAAATGCTTGCCAAATGCCCAACTATGAACACTATAGTTTGTTGTCAGTCGTTTTTTTCAAGAAAAACTAGTGTTCCGTGAAAAAAGCATGCATCTGGAACTCAAGTAAGTATGTACTTTTTCTCATGACAACCAGTATACTTTGGTAGGCTGCAGAAGCACTTACACTAACTTCCCGTTATATCAGACATAATATAAAAAAGATGTACTCAAGGGTTGAGATCTAATAAGATTAAAAATTCTTACTGCTTCATCGTGCACATTCTTGAGTGAAACTGGTTTTTCTTGTATTTTTTTCCTTTCCGGATTGATTCACTGTTAGTCAGTGTGGTACCTCTGCTGTGGTTCATGCTAAGGTATCAACAGCTTTACCCGCTATTGCTTTTGCAATGTAATTTTCAACAGGCAAATGTAAATAAAGCAGAAAAGATAAACAGTGTCCTAGGATTATTTTGAAATATTTTTGCCCTCACAGTCACACATTCAGAGTGACCTCATGGCACAAAGCATGCCATACTTTGAGAGCTACTGCCTTAGAATTTAAAAATAACATCAGCCATTTCTCACGTTTCTTCTTCCAGGTTTTCCTACATAGCAATACTTGAAATTCAAACCCTTTGAAATATTAAGTAATATTTTGTCCATTTTACATATTGAGGTAAAAACTGAATTTTATTCTCTGGACACATTAGACTGAACATTTTGGAATCAAAATGACATGATACTCACACATATCTCTCAAAGAGCAATCCCATTCTAATCAAAAGGATATTCCCTCTTGGATTCATGCCAGTTCCAACCTTCTACCAAATCACTGTTTCTTCTATTTGTGCTGAATTGGAGGGTCAGTGTTGGCCCAGGATTTGGTACAAATGCTGAACTTAGCCATCAGTAATTTTAAAATTTTGGCTCATCAATAATATTTGGGATTTTGCTTTACTCTCCTGAGTTTCAAATGCTGTTTAGTAGCCTTTCCAAAATATTTAGAAACCTTTCCTAATACTTGCTGGGGAAAATGTTCTCCAAGAGGCAGACTATCACAGGAATGGCATTTGGGGCTTGGCAAAGTTAGAGTTCACAGCCGTCCCATTTACTTTGGCTAAGGCCATTTTATCCATTGAGTTCTGCAGACACAGTGCTTAGGGCCTATAAAGTTTTTAAGGGCCAATGAAAATACTTAAGACGAAGAAAAAAAAAAACAATGGCTCAGAATACTGAAAGAAAGCTGCAAGATTGAAATAATAAATATTTAATGACACGTCTCTGAAATGTCCTATGTCATATTCATTAATTGTTAGATTTAGTATTATGAAAATTTCATTACATTTGGAGTCAATTTGTCTAGTAGGTATTCTCACTTTGCAAGGATTCCCAATGATATTAGAAGAATTGCTTGTCATAATTACTCCGTCCAGGTTCATAACAGCTAAGACTTATTGGGTGCATACCAGACACTGTTCTAAATATTAGCTTACTTACTGATGTTCAGAGAAGTCAAGTAACTTTCCTAAGATAATAGAGCTAAAAAAAAAGGGCAGAATCAGATTTCAAATGCTTACATTCTGGCTCCAGAGTCCATGTGCCTTACTCTACTGCCCACAATCATTCTTAAAATATATATTTAGTACAACTCAGAAAAAGATGAACATTTTATTTTTTAAATCATACCGTATACTTACAGAAGATTTATTTTACTAAAAATTTTATTTTAGCGTTATGAGAACATTAAAGCTTTTGTTGGTTATTTTTTTTACCAAAAGTATTTGAAACAGAAATTCGTGAACGCTTTAGAAGTTGAACAAGCTCTAATTTACAGGTAAAAGTGGATATTTTGAGGCTACCTATACCTTCCTTACTGTAGTAGTCATAGTATATAATAATTGGAATAAAAAACAAAGTTTTCAACTTAAAATACTAATGTATGCTTATTCTTTGTATAAAATAATCTAGTAGGCTGATACAAACAAACCTTGTCTGAGTTTCTAACTACTTCCTTTGTAATGTCAATAAAAGGAGCCTCAGCCTATCTGGGGTTTGCCAGGTGGTAGAAAGTTGCAGCAGGAGGAGGTAAGCCTATTGATTTGGGTGGAGTTATGAGAACAGTTAGAAAGTTAATGAATAACAGGAGATGAGATAACTTCCGCTCTTCGGGTTCCTGCCAGGGGTATGGAGGCATTTAGGAATAAAATAGCACAGTAGCCTGAAGCCTGGTGGGAGACTTCCTCAGCCTACCTGTTCTCCAGGAGGCGGGCTTTCACAGGAATGGCATTTGGAGCCAGAAAGGTTCAAGACTGTCCCATGACAATCTCCGTGCTCTCAGGCAAATGTCTAACCTCCCACAAGTCTGCAAAATGGGATAGTAACAGCACCTGGTTCCGTGATTGGTTTTGAGAATTAAGATGCTGGATAGTTACAAGGCCTTTCGTCCTCATTTCTCACCACCTGTCTCTCACTTCTATCAAATGAAGGCAGTAGGTGGTTAACTGTTTTCAGCTTTAGCTCTGAAAAGTGCCCTCTCAATCCTTCACTCTGTCTTTCTCTCTCACTATGACCAAGACGTAAAGCGTATGATCCTCGCTGCTCACTACCCCGTGCAGGTAAAGCATTTTGATTAGAGGCACACCAAAATGCAGCAAACAAGGCTGACACATGAGTACTTTATCTCCTAGCACGAGGTTTCCCAACCAGCTTTGGTGTCAGCAGACTGGAGTGGAATAACCACTGGTTAGATGGCTCTAATCATGCTTAATATTATTACATACTTTAAATGCTGTGTGTTTGAGTACACTAACTATACATTAATTATGGCAGAGTTTAGATTTTCTATATAAATTATCTATATAAAAGTCACTGGTTTTTGTAAAGACGTTTTTTTTGAGGAGAGGCTGGGATAGTTACAGCTGTCCTGCTGGCAATTGAACATTTTGTCTAACGTTTGTGTTACACCTGTAGTGATCTAGTATTACTCATGTTCCCTAGGAGTCATGACCACAAAAAGTTGTTGAGAGTCTTTAACTTCCCCCATAAACTTTAGGGGCCAGGTTCACAGGAATCTGGACCCTCCCACCTGACTATCATCTGTCAGGTGCAGGGTGGGATAAAAGATTGAGGAAGCAGGAAGCAGGAAAGTCTTTCAAATTTGATCAGGGTGGCTGACTCAAGGGGATAAGAATGGGCAAATTCGACCTGCCGTTATCCATCCTAAGTAGTTAGGAAGGGCCCAGAGGTAAGGCCATCTTCTACTTTTATTTTTAGCCATGAGAAATAGAAGAGAGTGGACTTGTAATCAGAGCTGTTGCACTGGAGCCGGACAGGGAAACGGGAAAGTCGTACTGTTTATAATGTGGGCAGGGTCTGAGGCTGAAGGAAGCGATGGAGCCCAGGGACATTGAGACGGCCATCTGGGGCGAAAGACACGTGGGGTAAGGCAAAGGGCTGCACCCACTGTGTGGTTCCAATAAATGATCATAATGATACTTGAAAACCTATGAAACCACAAGCCAAAAGAATGAGGTGAATACCTTTGAAGAAACGATGGAATGATAACCTTTAAATAATATTTGGTAATGATAGTTTACTTTTTCACTAGAACTAACATTTTGTGGTCTTTCTGGAAAATCTTTCATCTATTTGTCGCCAGGGCGAATTTCTACCCTTTAGGAGTCATTCAGTCATCTACACTTGGCCTGCCTTTTCTGATTCCCCTTAGAGTGTTCCCAGTGCTTCCAACAGGTCTGGGTGTCTCTCTGCCTAGCAGTGATTCACATACTGTGTTGCTATTGTTGGAGAGCCATCTCCCATCTAGATTCTGAGCTCCTTGAGGGGAGAGACTTGGGGCTTTTTTTAAGAGAT